CAAGGCCAGACATTCCAATCTGCTCAGAGCCACATTATATGATATGTGGAGGTTCCAGGCACCTGCCCCAAAATATCAACCCCATTGCCCACCAGCCCACAATTACTACTCAATTCCTTTCCAACCTAAATGGTAATGATAATAGCTAATATATATTCAAAAAATGTACTAAGCACTAGTATAAGTATTTTACGTGTATTAGCTCATTGAAATCCTCAGTGAAGTAGGTACTATCGGTATCCCCATTTGACAGATGAAAGAACTGGGCAGAGAGATAAAGTAACTTGCCCAAAGTTACAGAGTAGCAAGTGGTAAAAATAAGATTTGAACAGGGCACTCTGGGTTAAGAGCCCATGCCCTTGAGCACTGTATCTGCTCTTTAAGTATTGTCTTTCAAGAGCCACTGTGTTGGAGTTTTCTTGGCATTTCACATCTTAAGCAGTTAGCTCTTGTGTGTGTTGGGAGTGGTGATGCAGAAAACAAGGTCAGCAGTCTCAAGGAAAAATTGACTTGGGGTAAGCAGGACCTCCTAGAGCTGTTAGGGAGTTCTCATGGGACAGATGGACAATGGAAAAGGTGCAGAGAAATGGGCAGGGTTAGAAAGATAGAGTATAGGATGTCTGAGAATTGCATGAAGCTAAAAAGGATAGGTCATTCTTTGGGGCACAATGGGGGGAGCGTTATGTATCCAAAAGGATGCAGTGTGTTCTCTTAATTCAGTGAAGTCAGCGACTGTCTATATTATAGTCAGCGCTTAACCTGAAACATGGTAGATGCTCAATAACTACCTGTTGAAGCAAGGAATGAATGAATTCTCTTCTTGCTGCCAGGCAGCTAAACCCTGCTCCAATGAGTTAGCTGATAAAATGTCAGTTAGCTAATAAAACATTCTAGGAAGTCAAATCTTAAGTCAGGGGAGATGCGGCACAAACATTTCATGTATTACAGTGACAAAATTTCCCTGGACCAGCCCCACACCCATGTAAAGCTGTGTGGTCACAGTAAGCCCTCGCTGACTGTTTGGAATGGGGTTGCCAGACATGAGAAATGCCCTGACTCAGGCTCCCCCAAAGTTCAACAAAGGAGAGGTCATCTCTACTCCTAATAGTCTATAAAGCCTCCCCACATCTGTGTGTGGATGGCTCCATGAACATGTTTGTTCATTTCTGCATTTGGAGGAATGTGGATTAGAGCTTCCTAAGCTGGGACAAGCAAATGTCAAATTTAACATTCAGAAGGGAGGAATATCTTTGGTTTTGATTTATAAATAGCAATGAGTCAGCTTAACCAGATCCTTCTGCACAAATAATTCCACCTAAGCAATTAAAGGAGAAAGGTATTGGAAAAGCTTGCATGGGGAGTGTGCAACTAATTTTAAGACACAAAGGTTAGTATCTCTTGGGACCCAGTTTCCCACTAAAGATTGCCAATAAGCAACAATTCCTGCTGCTACCCCCTTCTCAGGTTCCCACAATTCTACATTTTGCAAGTTGAACCAGGCTTTCTTTTTCTTTCTCGTACATGTGAATTTTAGATGTGTAGTATTTAAAAGCAATGTATGAATTAAAATTTGTCTGGGCTTGGCTGTGCCTGTTCCTGGGTACAGTTAGAGAATCTCATATAACTGTTTTGAGTTATGTTTCACACCCTAACAATAGATCCGCCATGTTGCAATAGCCTTGAGGAGGGAGGACGGCAGAGGTCTGCAAACCTGGGATCAGCCCCAGGCTAAGCCAGACTGAGAAACATAAGTAATCCCTAGGCTTTGGGTGATAGAGCCCAGGTCCCCCCGAGGCCCATGTGTGTGAGTTAGCAATCAGGACTTGCATGGCTACATGCCAGCGTAGGCTAGGAGGAAAGAGGTAGAAAGCTGAAAGCAGGCCTAGGAGCTAAATTATGCTGCTGAGCCATAGATACAGCAAATCTTCATGAAGCACCTGCCATGTGCACAACAGAGGTGAAGATCAGTCAAGAAGAGAGCAGAGCTTAGTGGAGCCTAGCTGGCTGCCATTGTAGGTCCAAGCCAGCACCAAACAGCAGGAGCCCAAGTGAAGAAACTAGGTGAAGAAGGGTCAGGAACTCAGGCAAATGTCTGGGTATCCAAAGAGGAATGAAATAACAGGTCCTAAGTGGCTTCTGCAAGGGCGGAGCTTGGCAAGAAGCCAAGTCGAAACTGTGGCAGGGGCCCCTTATAGGCTTCTTGCTGCAGGGCAGAGCTGGGCCCTTAGTGTCGTCCACAGGTGTAGACAAGCAAGTACACCTGGCTAACATGGGGGTGTTGAAAGCGTGGAGGAATGAGACACTTTGTGACAGGGAGATTAGTCTGAGTGATAGCTCACATGACGTCTCATTTTGCTAATCAGAAGCCCTTAGAGGTTCGTTATTTTTTTAAATTTTCAATTCCAGTTTCACTATATGATAGAACATAAATCCATTATAAAAAGACTAGAAAATTCTGCTAACGAAAAGAAGAAAATAAAATTCAAGTATAATCCCATCACCCAGATTTCAACTGGGTGTATTTTGGTGTATATTTTGTACATTGAAATACTACTTTCTTCCGGATCCCTAAACTCCACCTGTGCCTCCACCATCCTATTTAGTTTGGAAGGGTTTCCTGAATATATTTTTAAAATATTTTCTCTCCAGTCAACACAGATTCTCCACAGTAACTCTAATACATTGGGTTTCATGGCCTCTTATTAAGTAGATGTTTTAAAAGGCATTATCCTTTAATGGTTTCTTTATAGAGTTTCTGTGAAATTCACAACCTGTCAGAACAGAGTGGCTTCCAACCTGCTCACAGCCCTGCTAGGCGATATACTGAGCACTCTTTATAAATGGAGTAAAACTGATTCTAGGAAAGAAGAGAGAGGAATGGAGAGCGAGTGAGGAAAGGGAGGCTAAAGAAGGAGAGATATTGGAGTAATAAGCAAAAGAGAGAAAAATGAGTCAACAGTACAGTCAAAAGTTGAGAAAAGATCAAGTTAGGATAAAACAGAGTGACTGTGAAAGGAAAAAGTGAATTAAAGGAACAAGTTTTAGGTGTTTCTCTCTTTCTTGTCCTTCATACACCTAGATGTTAGTTTTCATTTTACATTTAAGGACAGCCTGGTGTAACGTAATGAGCCCATTACTGGAGGCCAGAAGACCTGGGTTCCAGTCCCAGTGCTGCTATTAAACTGCTGAAAGACCTTGGGCAAGTCTCTTCCCTGCTCTGGATCTAAATCTCCCCAATTATAAAATGAAGGGGCCGGACTACATGACATCTAATGGTCTCTGTTGTGTCCTGAATGTCTCATATTGCTAGATATATACAGAACGTTTTATCAACTTCAAGTTTAAAAGAGAATTCCAACTACCATTTGGAATCCGGTTGTGCATCATGCACACTACAGGGATTTAGTGCTAAAGCATTACGTGGAAAAAAACAATTATAGTTGTTTTAATTACCCAGAGTAGCTAGTAATTTCGACAAGACTTGGGAGCACTGTCTTGAGAATGCTGTTATTACACTGTCACTTTTCAACAGCCTTTCCAATATAGGCATGGTAATTTCAACGTCCCAGGAGTGGGGGCAAGATTGCTATTAGGGTGGTAATCTTGCTTTTATTTTCTTTTTTTTTTTCCCTTTAGCATGAAGGGTAACTCTGCACAATAAGAGTCTCTTAGACACCATCCAGCAAAGAGCGTGAATCAGATGCAAGCCGTTCAGGTCATTGCCAGGGCTACATGAGGCCTCAGGCAATGACACAATCATTCCCTTGTAACTTGAAAAAGGTGTCTGCCAGAAAGTATCTATCAGATGCTAGATTAGCTCTCTGATTCCAGAGTTTTTTTCCGAACGTAGTTTAGTCAGTATCACTATGGCTGCTGGTGAAGAGCGTAGTGGCCAGGCAGCTGCTCATTTTGATTCTCTGAGACCCCCAAGGACAGCCACGTGGGCTGGAAATCTTTCTGAGTAGTTAATCCTAAGCAACTTTAGGCCTTCCATCTATCACACATGCAGTCCTTTGAACTGCTTTACGTTTTCAGAAATAAAATAAAAACCAGTTGTAATTTGGTGTGACTTTCACACGTGCACAAGCAACTACAAGGGTTGTTCTCTCTGCTTAACGCCACCAGGAAATCTTAAGTACCCAGTTAAACTATGCTTCCCTCCAGGGTTTATTGCTGAGTCCTATGGGCTCTGGGAAAAGGACCTCAGTTGACTTCCTACTTATTCTTTGTTCCTTGATGTGTCTAACTGCACCTTGCTCTCCGCCAGATGCTAAAAGATTAGACTGCCTGCTGAGAGGGCTCCATTTTAGAATGAACTGCTGCTACCTGGTAATTAGCCTCTCACTGCTCTCAGCAGTTCTCTTTTGACCAGAAGTTCAGCCCCCCAGAAGGGTTACAGATTGGCCAATAATTTCTTCTGCCCTGCCCTGAAGGAGTTAACGTTTCCTAGTTCCCTGAGTGGTTCACCCAGTGCAAACTTTGCAATTACGTCCAACTTCGTTCTTAGAAAACTGTTTGCATCTGATCATATTGATAAATGTGTAAGATATGTGCCTTATTTTTTTTTGCAATGTCAGGCTATTCACACTTTTAATGAAAAGTAAAACAACCTTTTAAAAGGAGCAGTCCCAGGGTTTAATCCCTAACGGGTTCTGAGAATTCTGGTTGTAGCCTGTGGATGATAAGAAAGGAGAAAGACTTACCTTTGGAGGGGTCCAAACTGTAAATGAGGTGCATGCCTATTGCTGCTTATAAAAAGAGAGCTGGATTGAGGTGAAGGAGTATAGACCTGAATGAGAACAAGATTTCCCTACATGGCCATAATTAAATCAGGGTCACCGAAAACACGCTTAGTCTGGAACTACACCAAATGGTACCAAAATGCAGAAATATCTCCAGACTTCTATTCTACACAGCACAAGTCAGATCCTCTCACTAGAGTGTTCTGCTTCGTTCTGGGTTCCAAAATGCCATTCAGGATATGAAGAGTAAAAGGAGACATGGAAATTAGCCATCAGGGCAGCCAGAAGGGACTAGTTCACAATCGTCTCCATAAAGATGCTGAGTGGCAATGTGCTTATACTATTCTGCGTGGAGCTGATTCTGGACCCTTGCCAGAGTGGGCAATTGGGGTAAGTTGCAAATGGAATAACACACAAGGAAGCCCTCAGAGGCACCATAAAAGACCAGGTGGGTGACTTGAAAAGGAATCAGTGAACACATCAGAGATGAAGTGTCAAAAAGATATTTTATGTTTATGTCAGCATAAAGCTTTGGATACGACAAGCTGTGATTTTCTTTCCAGACCTGCACAAAGGATAGGGAGTGTCAAAGGAGGGGCTCAAGTATGTGCAGACATTGGTGAGGAATGTTCCAAGTGTCCCCACTCTCAGATAGGTGGGTATGGGAAGAATTCAGTACTAAGGGGTGGTGGGAAGTGAGTGAGGCCTGCTGCTTGGGTAGCCCCTTGCTGTACATGTGGATAGAGGGCCAACCGGTAAAGACACAAATGTCAGAGATGAGCAAAGCGATGCATAAAGGTGAATAAAAGGTAGCAAAATGTAGCCTAAGGTCAGCCATGCTGTATGCAAATCCTGACCCTGGCTGAAGGCAGAAGGGGAGCAAGCAAAGAGAATACTAGGATCTCCAGGCCTCTCCTTCTCTCTTACCTCCCCAAGTCCGATTGCACATACCATGGAGATGTGTCTCACATCTCACCTCTTTCTATTCTCACTACCACTGCCATAGTCCACGCTACCATCTTCTCTCGCCTGAACTGCTGCAGTAGCCCCACCTGGTCTGCCTGTCACCTGTTTTGTCCCCTCCTCCATCCATTCTTTATACCCTTGTTCCTCCAAGTATAGTCCACAGACCAGCAGCATCAGTCTCACCTGGGAGCTTGGGAGAAATGTAGATTCTCAGGCCCCACTCCACACCTATTGAATCTGCATCTGCAGTTTAACAAGATCCCCAGGTGAGTCACATGCAATTTACAGTTTGGGAGGCTCTGTCCTAAATACTGCCAGGATGGTGTTTCTAAAACACAACTCTGACCATGTCGATTTCCTGCTAAAATCATTCAGCTACCTCTGCCCTACCTTCAGGTTTGTGGCTTCACACGGCACAAAAGGCCCATCTTGGTAAGGCTCCTGCCCACTTTTCCAGTCACCATATCTCACTTGCTCCTTTAGGAAGAGCACGCTGCTTGCAGTTTTATTGTTCACACCAGGTCTTCTACTCTCCTCTGCCTCTGACCTCCTTCTCCTCTTCTCTTCACCTGGCTAACTCCACCTCTTGCTTCCTGTCTAGAACTAGATGTCTCCTCTGTTAAAAATCCATTGTGCTGCACCCTTACTCATCTTTCTGGGTTAGGTGCCCTTTGGATGTGCTCTCGTATCACGCCCTGCATACATGCTTCCACAAGGGCGTTTAGCCCCAACTACTGTGATTACCTATTGATGTGCCTGCCTTGCCTGGCAGCCCATGTATTCCTTGGTCCTAATGCCTGTGCCCTATTCACCGCAGTATGCCTGGAGCCAGGAAAGTATCTGGCACAGAACAGGTGCACAATAATGTGCTGAATCAAAGGGATGGTGGAAAGGGTCACACAAGGGTAAAGGCATATACAGAAGGACAAAGGCAGATGCATGAAAAGTAAGCCTGGAGTTTGGTCAGGGGAAATTACAACAGAAAAAAAACTAGAAAAAGAGAATAAAGAATGGAGAAAAATATGCTAAAGGAGAGGTAAGGGATTGGCTTTTAAGGAGAAGGTTAAGACTGATGAAGCAGTTCTCTGTTCCTGTCTTTTTGTGTGGCTGTGTGGTTGAGCCTTACCTATGAATATGTGAAATCAGAGGGTTAACATGACAGAAAGGCATTTCGTTCACTTGCTGGTGAAGGAATGATCAACAGGCACTGTTTCTAAGAAGGGAAACTTCTGTGTGACATCCTTAATATTTCAGATCTTGAATATTCAAATAAATGCTGCCCTTGTCAAAACAGACCCTTTAGGTGATCCAAATGCGAATAGCTAAGTAACCAGAAATCAGGTTTGTCGAGGACAGTTCTGGTTACACCTGTAGTGACAATATAATAATTACTAGTATCCCCATCAACCCTCAAGAGTGTCCCAGTTTGGATGATAAATTATATGATCACCTTACAGACAACACTTCTTGAGCTCTTCCTATGGATCAGACACTGTGTAAAGTACTTGACACGAATATTCTCGTTAGATGCTCACTCTGATTCTTTTTTTAAATTGAGATAAAATTCAAATCCCATAAGATTCACCCTTTTAAAATGTACAGTTCAGTGGTTTTTAGTATATTCACTGTTGTGCAACCATCACAACTATCTAATTTCAGAATATTTTTGTCCTCCCCTCCAAAAAACCCCATACTAATTAGCAGTCACTCCCCATTCCCTCTGCCCCCCAGACCCAGGCAACCACCAATCTACTTTCTGTCTCTGTGGATTTGCGTGTTCTGGACATTTCCTATAAATGGAATCATATAATATGTGGCCTTTTGAGTTTGGCTTCTGACAGTCCTATTTTACAATTGAGGAAACTGAGGCTCAGAGAGATTAAATAGCCTGCCCAAGATCACCCCTCTAGCAGGGAGAGGGGTCAGAACCAGACCCAGGTGTGTCTGGCTCCAGAGCCCACATTCTTAGCCACCATGATGTGCTGCCTCCCCATATTTACTGCAGGTACTCAGTGCATTCTTGGAACTCTTTTTTAGCCTTCTGTAACTGGGCACATTCTTTCCAAAATGCCTCACAAATCTTCATTATTTGAGAGTAGATTTAACGTTTGGAAAGAGCCAAAAGTCATAAAGAGCAAATATGGTAACTAAAAGTTGGCTATCAAGCTGGGTCATTGCTATGGACTGAATTGTGTTCCCCCCTAAATTCATATATTGAACGTCTAACATCCAATGTGACGAATGTGACTATATTTGGAGATAGGGCTTTTAGGAAGTAATTAGGGTTAAATCAGGTCATAAGAGTGGGGCCCTAATCTGATAGGATTGGCGGCCTTATAAGAAGAAGAAGAGAGACGTATGGACACAGCGAGAAGGTAGCCATCTGCAAGTGAGGAAGAGAACCCTCACCAGAGCCCGACCATGCTGGCACCTTGATCTCAGACTTTCAGCCTCTAGAACTGTAAGAAATAAATTCCTGTTGTTTAAGCTACCCAGTCTATGGTATTTTGTTATGGCAGCTGGAGCTAATACAGTCATATTTGGGGATAAAAAATGAGGCATAACCATCAAGTCAAGAGAATGAGTGATTATTACCTGTGACTTCAAGAACAATTTCCTGAGGGGAGCATGAGAAATATTTTGAATGTGAAAATCAGCATTGGAAAAAGGAGAAGCACCTATAAGACTCATTGCATGGCACTATGCTTTTAAATTTTACAATATCTAGCACATTTCTCTGGAAAATATGACAAGTATAAGGAAAAAATAAAAATAACTCACTATGCTATTGTTAATAATATGCTATATTTTGTTCTAGTTTATCCTTTTCTGAAATCTTACTTGTATAGTCTATATTTTTTTAAAGTACACAATCAATATGTGGATACATTAGAATCTCCTTCATCTAATGTGGTCAAAGGTTGCTGTTGGTCAGTTAGTTGATAAAATTTGCTAAACTAGAAAATCATAATTAATATATACATACACACAAATACCTTAAGATTTATTTTGACATAAAACATATACATTTACATTCATATGCCAATCTTTTGATGTAGGGTCAAGGTCTTTTTGAGTAAGGACTTCTGATTGGTGTTCCCTTTGTCTTTCTTTCATAAATCATACCCATAATGCATCATCTATGATTTCCAGCATTTGCTTATTTAACATGGAACAAGAATGTAGATGCTTGCAAAGTAATTTGAGTATAGAATCCTTCCAGATTTTTGTCCCCCAATATTTTACTGCTCTCATATCCAAAACTAATTTGATAGCATATTTTTTGGGATTCCTCCCTTACGGCGTTTTTGCAAAGTGATCGACTTAGTTATCATAGAAACAACTCTTGCTTTTAGTGATCACAATTCTTTTGATTTATATACAATTTAGTTAAATTGTGTACATACAATAACAAGTAGAATTGTCAAAAATGTGTTCAATAAAATTATTATGAAGCATGGAACTTAATCGATGGGTGTAGAAGTACACATTCGATGGGTGTAGAAGTACACATTGGATGGGTGTAGAAGTGCACAATCATATTAGAGTAGCCACTAGCCATGAGCTTTCATCATGACATAGGCATCCATCAGTCTTTTAAAGAGGGAATGGAAAGCATTCTCTGTGCATTGTTGAGTGGTTAAGAGAGGACCTACTGTCCTTGCTCATTAGAAAAGAAAAAATCCAGGGGCCCAGCCTGGTGGCGTAGCAGTTAAGTGCGCGCACTCAGCTGCAGCAGCCATGCTGTGGCGGAGTCCCACATAAAGTAGAGGAAGATGGGCACAGATGTTAGCCCAGGGCCAATCTTCCTCAGCAAAAAGAGGAAGATTGGCATCGGATGTTAGCTCAGGGCTGATCTTCCTCACCAAAAAAAAGAAAGAAAGAAAAGAAAAAATCCAGATATGTACATAGTAAAAAGTTAAAGTTCCCTTTAATCTAATCCTTTCTCCAGGAATAATGTTTTTAACAGTTTGGTGTGTATCCTTCCAAAGTCTTCCATGCATTTACCTATACATATGCATCACTTAAGTCATATGGTGTGCCAGGCACTGTACTTAAAATCTTGATGTGAATTATCTTGTTTAATCCACACAACAACTCTATGAGAGACTACTACTATTATCTCCATTTTGCAGATGAGTAAATCAAGACTCAGAAGGTTCAATAATTTGCCCTGGGTTACACAGTGACTAATTCGTTCTTCCTCCTGAGAGGACTGTCTTACTAATGTACATTAATCAAGTTAAATGTTTGGATCCATTCATCTATTTATTCAGTAAACATTTGTTGAATGTCCACTCTTGGCCAGTCACTGTACATAATGCCAAGTATTCAAACACATGGTTTCTGTCTTCAAGTACCCAGAAAAGGCAGGTCAAATTGTGAGCTAAAAGATTTGCCCCAATTCATCCAGTCAGCAAGTGGGTAGAGCAGGATGACAAACCAGGTTTGTTTTAACAAATCGTTATATGACAGCTCTAGGTGCATAGAAGATTTGGTAGATTGGTTTTAGAGGTAGCCACCTTGGATATTTACTGTTTCCATGAGAAGATGAGTTTGGAGCCCTCAGAAATCGTGTCCAACAGTTAAGACCATCTTTGTAAATTAGAGATTATAAATATAAGTTCTGAAAAGTTTAAAATTATACTTATATATATATATATATTTTCTTTTAAGGCAAACATTGCTCTACTGTAATCCAAGGGAGATAGGGGAGATGAAGATGAGACAAGGTTCAGGACTGGAGTTCCAATTCCTTGAATGGAAGGACTGTGGTAAAGAATTTAGATCCACTAAGGAGCTTGCTTAGAATGTTGAAAAGTGTCAGCTTAAACAAGAACAAGCAATTGAAAAAAGAATCCAAAGTCTAGAAAAGAGAAAATAGGAAAGCTGTATGTAAAGAGATATTATGAGAGAAAATAATCATAACATAAAAATTGAGGAATTGGATTATAATGGTGGAAAAAAATTAAAAGCTGCATGTTGAGACAGAACCAAGACCTTACCTATTACACAACACATTCCACGAGGTTGGCCAATTTCAACGTGCACCATGGAGGACTGAAGGGAAATGCCTCTCCTGGAGACGGGGGTGGAGAGCTTGAGCCACGTGGGCGCCTGACCTCCAAATGCATAAATGCCAAATGCTTTCAGCGGTAATTGGCAACACGTACAGGGATGGAAGAATCAGGAGATTATTCTTATACACATGGTATGGGATCTTACAAAAGTGAGCAAAAAGGAAGCCTTGATTGGAAACCTTACAAGAATGGCTATATATTCTTTGTGATTGCAGAAACATTTAAATATACACACACATTGAATGTGGCAGCATTGATGGGGAAGATTAAGCACCCTGGTGGAAAAAAGAATAAAAAATGAGGAGAAAAAAGGAAACTCTTGAGTTTCCTAAATTGTTTGCCAAAAAGCTGGAGTCTGTGATGGAATTTGGTCCTCATGACTGAAATGTTTCTTTGGTGTTGGAAAAAGTACTGCTGTCATATCTCTCTCTCTTTAGAAATTCTTCTTTTTTTTTTTTCGTTATAAAAATCCCGTGGCAGCTCCTTGTCTGGAGGACTTTAAAAATAGGAGCGATTTCATCTGTCTGGAATGGTCTGTGTCAGCACCTGCCCTAGGCAAGGTTGCCACATAGGCAACACTCCCCTCCCTCCTCCCTACCAGACCCCCCCACCACTACCCCCCAATGCTCTTCATGCCCCACAACCTCCCCCTATCAAGAGTGGGCTGACCTTTTCCTGGACTACAGCTCCAATGTGACCTCCCACATAATATCAACCCCCCTTTCCCTCAGCTCTCTCTCCAGGTGTGAGGGATGCAGTAGGTTTCACCCTTGGCGGCCTATTTGCATTTAAAAATAGGACCCTAGTTAACCCACACGAATCTCAAATCTCGAGTTGGTGGAGCTTTTGACAGTGTAACCAAGTGGAAAGAAGTCCAGGGGAGAGGGGAGTATTTTTGGTCATTGGAGGAAGGGGGTCGGGTAGGCCGCCTTCCTGGAAGCTATTAAATCCCAGATGTGGGCTCTGCCTTGAGGCAGAGGGGCGGGGGAGGGAGGAGGATGGCTGGACTGTCTGACCTCTCAAGGTTGCCGTTAATTCTATGGGTCGGTGATTTCCAACTACAGTTCCCTGAGCCCAGGTTCCTTTGCAGCACTACAGGCACCGCGTGACTTGGATTTAACTAGGGGTTTTCAGCAGCGTGTCTTTGTGCCTATCAGCCAGAGCCCAATTTTCCCATCATAGTCCTCCCTGCAACAGCAACCCTCCCGTTCAGCAATGGTGGCGGCTGAAGATCAGCCCCAGCCATACTCAGCTCAAAGAGATTTTCACAGAGAGTTCTTCAAAGCTCCTGTTCTCAGAGAAGCATAAGAAAGGGACTGTTTTGTGCTCACAGTGTGTGGGGGCTTTATGAAGAAAAAAAATATGTGCGGCCTTATGTGAATGGAGCATACTAAATACAGATTTGGTGGGGAAAGCTGCAAAATGAAATCTACTCATGGAGCTCCTATGAGTAATTTGGTCAATTTCATGTTGGAGCCAACAAACATTCAAGAGCCCCTACTATGTGCCAGGTTCTGAGTTAGACCTGGTGAGTAACAAGAAAAGTAAAGCGAGGTCCCTGCTGTAAAGGAATTCAGTCTAACAGGGAAGATAGACATCCCGTAGGAGAAGTGCTGTGTTTGAGGTGAGCGAGGTTGTTTGGGAGCAGGGTGGTTGCCCTTGGCTCAACTGCTGCTGCTAAGGATCAGAGAAAGCTCTCAGAGGAGATGACATCTGAGCTGAGTAGGAGTAAGCCAAACCAAAGAAAGGTGGGAAGGGCGGTCTGTGTAGAAGGAACGACATGAGCAGAGGCAAGGTGGCATGAGACTACTTGACATGTGTGGGTAACTATAAGCAGGCTGATTTATTAGAAAGGAAAGTGTCAGGAAGGGGGAGGGGCAAGAGATGAGACTGGAGGGGTAGGCAGGGCCACATAAGGGAGAGAGGGCCCAGCCTCCCGGAGCTAAGGAATATAGACTTCATCCTGAGGGGAGCCACTGAAGGATTTTAAGCAGGTCAGATTTGCATCTTGATTAAACTATCTGTCAATTTGGGGAAAATCATTCAAATTGCCTGTGGGATGAATTGATTAAAGAATTCCATTGAAAGGGTAGATTTGCAGGTCTAGCCATAGTTAAGTGCAAGGCTCTCTTTTTCCAAGACGGTTTGTCATTAGTCTGAGGCTTTTTAGGGAGTACCCCTAAAACGATCTACGGATAGATGCATATATTTATCTGTAAAACTCAACATCATTTGGGAGGATGCAGGGCCTCTAAACACTGCTCAAAGGAAACAGTGTTTAACGAAAGTCTCCTTGCTTCTACCCTTCACTCCACACTGCAGTAACAATATCAGGTCAGGAACGCAAACTGTGCTATGATCTCTTTGTTTTGTTTAGCAAAAGTCATCCGGGAAGGCGCTGTTTAACCTGAGTTGCAGCCATCTAAATCTTGCTGAAAAGGAATATTTTGGATTAGAATTCTGTAGCCATTCTGGAAATAATGTAAGTTGATTTCATTATAAGGTTCTCTATGTCTAGAATTGCTTCTAAATGCAGTTTGCAGCTATGTATGTAGGGCTCAAACACCTGATTGAAAAATGAAAAATCATTTAAACCCTTGCAAAATGACTGAATTTAACAACTATTTTCCCTCCTCCCTCCTTGTCTATTAAAAGTCGCCTCAGTTTGCCAAACGCAAACTCTTCTACTCCATGCTCCTCTTTTGTCCTTCTGTGAACAGCCTTCTACGCTTTATCTATTCTGACTTTACAGACTCTGGACCTCAACCTCCAGAATTAAGACTCTTAACCTCACCAATGAGTACTCAGGGGACTCTCCTTTCCCCTCTCTCAGGTCCTAACATTCCTGATGTTCTTCCCGCTGTGTCCTGCCTTGGCATGTCTGTTGTCTGGCACCTTCCCAGAAAGGCTCATTGTGACTGTTAAGCTGGCATTTGGGGGCTGTAGGATTCAAATGTGGATCCAAACGCCTTCATTAGTCTTTGTAGCAACTAATGAGCCTCGTATGTGACACCTATGTCATCCTACTGAGGCAGGGGAGCAGTGATTCAAATGTCAACAACAAAGAGCTTATAGATCAACAATGTTCACTGTCATTGGGAAAATATAAGGGGGCAGATTGAGTGTGGTGGAGGTACGTTATCTCTTTAACATTGCTCTAACTATCTTTAGAAGTCTAAATAGTCTTGGTATTTGTTTATTTCATGTTGACTTTTATCTGTTACCAAAAAAACAAAAGAAAAGCTGCACTCAATGCCATGTTCTACCAATTTTTTCATTAATGTTATTACAGGTCTGGTTGGAACTTCTAAAGCCCATTACAAAGCAAGTAAAAAGTAAGTATGGAAAATCACTTAAGGAATATAATTCCCAGTTACAACGTGAAAATATTTCAGCAACACCACACTATTCCTCACCTTAATATAATGGGAGAAACGGGCTTTGATGTATTATTTTAATCCTTCATACATCCAGTAAATTTAGCAATTTAAAAATTTGGTTTAACTTTACCTGAGATGAAGAAAATCATGCTGCTGGATCTTTGAATAAATTTGAAGAACCCTAGTAATTACAGCACTCTGTGGATTGGCTCTGGCAATATATCTCAGGCTCTAGCACTGCAAAGCTTCAAGCATCCTTGATGTCAATCTGCAATGCCATTCATCTTCTGCCTGAAGATGTTTTAGTTTTATGCTGTCACAGACATTGTCCATTCGTTTCAGATCATATTTGAATACCTATGGTATATGAAATATCTTCCCATCCCATATTTCACAATCTAGTGTGATAGTTCTCAAATCTTAGTGTGTAGTAGGATCACTTGGAGTTCTTGTTAAAATGCAGATTCCTGGGCCTCGTTCCAGGTTGGGGGCTAGCACCCTGCATTTATAACAAATTCCACAGGTGTTTCTGATGCGGGTGGACTTCAGTCAACACTTTGAGAAATGCTGTTTTAGTGTTTCTTCACATCTGTGCTCTTTATGTGTTTGTTGATGTTTCCCACAGTTCTGTCTGTTCCCATCGCGTAATGACAGTCTGTCACACTATTCCAACTGCTTCCTAACTGATTCCCCCCAATCCATCATCTATCCTACTCCCAAAGGGAACTATTGAAAATACAAACCTGACTACGTCACTGTTCTGCTTTCTTAGAACAAAGTTCAAACTCGTTAGCATGATCCACTAAGCAAGGGACTCTGACTGCCTTTCTAACCTTACCTCTGCCACTGACCACTTCATGTTTTTACCTCTCCTGACTTTGACAAAACTAACCTCAGGTGTAGGCTTCTCAAATAAAATAGAGGATGTCCAACTAAACTGGAATTTCAGATAAACAAAGAATATTTTCTTTGTATAAGTATGTCCCATGTAATCGTTGTTTATCTGAAGTTCGAATTTAACTGGGAGTGTTTTTTTTATTTCCTAAATCTGGCAGCCCTACTCAGGTGTCAACTCCTCTAGGAAGCCTTCCTTGATCTCCTCCAAACTGGTCTTCCTCTTGTGATTCCCACTGTTTCGTGCTTATCACACTTTGCGGTGTTGTAATTGTCTAGGTGTCTGTCTCTTTTATCAGACTGTGAGTGCTTAATTGTCTTTTTATTCCCAGTACCTACCTAGTACAATGCTTGGCATACAATAGGCACTCAACAAATATTTACTGAATGAATGGTGTTAATGCTATATGTATGTGTTTGCTTTTGATGCAAAGAGTTCCTTGTTTTCAAATGCAAGGAACAGTGAAGGCAAGTAGGTTTGTTTTCTTAATGTAGATTTTAAGATACATAGAGGCATCAGTCCATACTACTAGTTCCCTCTAAGCTGGGCCCTTCTGTCAGCCAGGAATGCAGAATCGCAAGTAGCAAGTAGTATGTTTTTCTGAATGGGACACTTAAGAGAGGACACAGTAGGTCCCAAAGGGGCACATCTTTATAAAAAAGGGAGAGAGAGTAGAAAGAGGGGCAGGGGAACTTTCCCAATTACTGTCTACATAGAGACACAATCCAGAAATAGCAGCATCTTACAAATGTGAACAATTGAAATTTAAAAGAAAAGTCTGTGGGGGGGAGTGATGGGAAGAGTGAAGGGAGCGTGTGTATGTGTGCATGTGTGTAAAGACCTATAATTGTTGTGATGGACATTTAAATAAAACTTATGAAGATATTGTGTTTTAAGATCCTAAGGAGGTTGTTTTCAAATTTATGGTGAAATTTTTCCCAGTGGACCCTGGACATCTGCGAGAAGAGCTTACAAGGTATAGTACTTACCTGTGTGTGTGCTGCATGATGTTACTTAGGAATAATTATTCTCCATTCGTCAGGGAATGGGCTTCTAGCCTTCTTTGGAAGGCTTGGCTCTCAGTCACTCTCTGGGAGATGGTGAGAAGCTGGAGAGAAAGAGGGCCTGGCTGGTCCCCAAAATGTTGATCTTCCAAAGGGTGGGGACTTCAGAGAGAAGGAGGGGTAGTGTTCTAGAAGTTGTAGCCAGTCTGGGTGCCCACTTGGGGGTTATGCCACAAACTGCTACAACAATAAGAGTGTCTGCCTTCCTTGCGTCTGTGCTCCAATCAGAGGGCAGCTTGACAGCACAAGTATGATGCCAGCTAATTTCCAATGATACTGACCATGGTGTGTGTGTCTGTATGTATCCCATGGGTAGAAATGATGATGACATATAATTATAAAAATTTAAAAACTAAAAAAATAAAAAGTATAAAAAATATTTTTATAAATTATTCATAACACAATTATAAATTATTTATAATTTTATTATAATTACTTAATAATTATAAATTATTGCTAATTTTCTATAATCTTAATAACTTATAATTATAATTTTATATAAGTAAAAGTATTTTATACTTGTAAAAAAGGTAAAAGCTAAAAGTACAAAACATTTAAAAAAGTATTTTTGTACTTATAAAAAATGTCCTTTAAAATTACAATGTAAACCTACTTCTTCAAAAATACATTGTCAACATAACACTCCCCAAAACTTTACTCTGCTTTCTAGACTTGAGACTCTTACACGTAGAAGGGCTATAAGAGAGAATCTAGTCCAGCCCTCTTGGTTTATGGATGAGGAAACAGGTGCTGGGAGCTAGAGTGACTTGGCCAAGATCACAGAATGTTGGCAGTTCTCCCTGAAGCCTTCCCCCTAACATGGTTCATGGCCAGTTCCCTTTTGTGCAGGGGGACTTCTTCTCTGAGGGGTCTTGCAGAAGTGACTTTTCACAAGTCAGTCTCTCTCCCAATTCTCTCCACATTTGTGAGTTATAGGCCACTTTCCCAGAAAACTTGATATCTTGGTATCTATATCAGTTTGCATTTGCTAACCCATTTCTATTGAGTCTCAAATTGTGACCAATTTTGGTGGAGTTAAACTTTCTCTGAAAAAAAAAAGAAGAGAAAATCAATGTGATGATAAATGATTCATCAGCTGTTCGGAGCCAGGATTTGGTATTTGTAGCAGGCAGCTGCCTTCTTAACAGCGAGGAATGTGTCAAATGACAAGAAGTTTCCTTTCTTTCTTGCTAGGAGAAATTCAAAATGAAATTCACTTTCCCTTTAGCAACTGAGGCTGATTATTCTCATTTACATCTATATTTGAAAGCAGGCAATGGCAAAGTTTAGACTTCCATTATTTGTTCCCCGTTGGTCCACTTAAGAATACTTAACTGTAGTTGTCTTTATAAGGATGCTTTGTTTGGGGCCAATACATGAGTTTCTGAGAGTGGTGTGCAAATATAATTTTTCTAATTGAATCGTTTCTAATCCATTAGGGGAGCTCACAATTTGAAGGATTATAATAATTAATGCTTTTGTAAATTGAATAATCACCTACTAATTTACCTGTTTTTTCTAATCTGGATGTTCATCTATCACCTGCAATTAATTTCGATTCACCACATTGCCTTCAAGGCTTAATTGGCTTAAAAAAATTCCAGATAGAACTTTATTTAGAAAATCACATCTTATATAGGGAAATGCTCACAGTAGATACACAATCAATGTTTTAATGTATAAAATAAAATATTGGAACCAACTTTGGACCATGGAAGAAAGCAGTCAGTGATTGAATCTTAATTATACACATCTTTTCCAAAGTTGATTCTCTTTTGATAAGGGCTTGAAAGTGTGGGACAAATGCTATCTGTTTGGCAAAACTCTGGATACCAAGCTGCACTTGCTGGGTCCCCAGTGGGCCATTGATAGGAAAAAGGGCATTCTGGCTTCATTCCATGCAGTACATGGTAATTCCTTGCCTGCTCTGTGCAAAGCCCTGGGGCGGGCTCGGTGATACAGAGAAGGTAGTCCAGGCGAAGGAGCAGAAGCATGGTCTCAAGTTTTTGATTTCTGCAACACTTTTGGATAAGAGGCAGCCTAATTTCAGTGGCAGAACTGAGTTCTAGCCACAGTTGCACTACCTTTGGATGAAATGACCTTGCCAAAATACTTAACCTCTGTCTTTCCATAATTGTAAAATGGGGTGATTGTTCCTGCCTGGCCAACCTCCTAAGTTGTTATGTTAGTGAGTCCTTGCTAGCATTTTGTAAACGGAGAAGTACTGGCCTCCTGAGTGGGCTTATTCTTTCTAAATCTCCCTTTCTCTCTGCTGGGTATGTGGCTTTGCAACGTGGCAGAAACCACCAGAGGATGATTGGCCAACTCCCTGAAGTTGGCGGGAGGGTTTGGCCGGGGTGATTCCTAATGGCTATGAGGCCTGCCAAAGTGCTGGATCAGCCGAGTTGTGGTCTAGCACTGGTTTGGGGCTGAAGCAAAGCCTGTGTGTTACTCACCACCTCAAAAAGGCATCTCACTGACTGGGGGCGCCGTTTCTTTCTTGAAACATCTTGGATCTGGGAGAAGGGAAATGCTTCTTTCTTGTTCTTGTTTCTTAAGAGATTTTTCCCAACTTCGTTGCAGGTATCTTTTTACTCTTCAAATAAAGAAGGATTTGGCACTAGGAAGGCTGCCATGCAGTGACAACTGTACAGCGTTGATGGTATCTCACATCTTACAATGTAAGTAGCAAATGTCGGCTTTGGGGCCTATTAGCCAGGCAGAGAACCAAGCAAGGGAGCTGAGCACCCCCAACATGTCCATCATTGTGTTAGGACTTACAGAGGAGAGAAAGCCTGGATAAAATATGTAGAAATAGCATGGTCCGGCAGAAAGAGGCTGGTCATTGTAGTGATTGAGATTTGGATTCAAATCCTGTCTCTACTATGTTCTGACTGTTGTAGCCTTGGGTGAAATCCCCTCATCTATCTGTGCCTGAGTTTCCTAGTCTTTAAAATAGTGACAAGAATACCTTCTCACAGAGTGGCGTGTAGATTAAAAGTAAATGCTAATTTTCTTTCATCTCGGTCTAACCTTTCCTTCCCACTGCCTGGGGCTTGCTGTCCAGGAGCTGGTTTGGACTAATCTGGGCATGGACTTTGCCAGGCAGGCCCACACTCCCTCTGCTTACCCCAGGATACATTTCTGGTACGTGCTTTCTGCAGCAGATTGTCACGTTTGATGTGATTTCTATGTTGTTCTTTATCATGATTCCGGAGAACAAAGCACAGAGTACAGCAGGTGGAGAAAGGCTAAAAGGGAAAAAGGCCCCAGGCGTCTATTAGTGTTCCCCATATCCTAGCAGCCAAGTAGTTGGACTAGGCTGAATAATGAAGGTAGGGAGAAGGAGGCCTGGGGAACAGTGGGAGCTTGCCTGGGAGGGAGTGAAGCTGGGCTGGCTAGGCTGCTTCTGTGCCCCTAAGGGCAGAATCTAGGCAGCTGGAGAAAGTATCTCTTCTTATAGAGATGGCTGGATTTTCTCTCTCTTCTAGAGAGTCCTTCCAAAAATAGGCTGTTCCTTACTATTCCTGCAGGATCATAACTTCCTTTTTTTTATTTCATAAGTTCATTTTTTACCTTTATCCCTTACCTTGCTTACAGTCCAGAAATAGTAGATTTCTGATTTCGCTGGGAACTCAAGAATGAAGTGCTTGGATAGGAACAGTGTCTGAATCAGTGTTTACCTAGTGACTCCTGACTGGGACAGTTGATGAGAGCCCCAGGATCTCAGGAAGGAAGTGAGAAGTGAGAGCAATAGTAATCAGGGGAGTCTTATGGAAGAGGCGGCTTTTGTGCTGGGCCTTAAAGGGACTCATAGGAATTGGATAGGTAGTGATAGGCAGAGAAAAGAGCATGAAAAAAAATGGTGGTGGGAAAAGAAGTATATTCTCAAGTGCAGCTCAAGCATAGGGTCTGTTTAGGACAGGTAGCGGAAAACTAAGCGTCATTTTGAAGGGCCTTGAATGCCAAGAACACTAACCATAAGTCCAGTATTGTGCTTGGCTTGGTAGGGGGCATGGGGTAAGGCACATAGAGAAAGCAATGTTGGAAGACTTATCTTTCTCCGTTAGCTGCCTGTTAAGGCAGCAGTCAGGGGATTGGGGTTCCCCAGATAGCCTTTGATGGGGGAGCCCAATTTCATTCTTAATGATTCAGCATTATGGATTTGGGCATTCCCTAGTGGCCATTTCAGGCATAGCATAGAGCAATTCAGCTTTTCTAGAGGATATTTTGTCAATAGAAGCTCTTTCCATAGCAAAAAGCTATTGTTTCAATGAGTCAGCTCTTCTCAATCCATGCAGGTCAGACTATTTCTCCGGATGCTAAGGCAGTGTGCAGAACACAACCAGACTGCTCATTCGTTTGCTCATTTATTCATTCATCCACTATTTATGTTCTAGGCATTCAAGAATCTCCACATTCTGACCTTCTCATTGCTTAAGTCTCTTACACATCCCTATGGCTCTAGCCAGATACTGCCTCCCAAACACAATTTGTACATTCCAAATGAAGCCTCCCTTTTATAAACACCCTTAGTAACTCTTCTTTGTCATTCGTTCAACAAAAATTTATTGAGTACCTACTACATGCCAGGTACTATTATAGGCCCTGGGAACATAGCAGTGAACTAAACAGACAAAAATCCTTTCCTTCATGGAGCTCACATTTTGGCAGTGGAGGTGAATCAGATGATAAAGAAAATAAGGAAATATATAATGTATGTTAGAAGGTGCTAAGTGTTGGAGAAAATAAAGTGTGGAAGGGAGATGAGGGAATTCTGGGCGTGGGTACTGAATTTTTAAATAAGGTCGTCAGGGTAGGCTTCACTGTGAAGGTGACGGTTGAACAAAGACTTGAAGGAGGTGAGAAAGCAAGCCATGCACAAATCTGGTGAAGGAAGTTCCAGACAGAGAGAACATCCAGTGCAAAGGGCCTGAGACGAGAGTGTGCCTGGAGTGTTCAAAAAACATTAAGCAGGCTTTGTGGCTGGCTGGAACTGAGTGAAAGAGGGAGAGGATATTCCTGGAGGGCCTTAAAAGCATATAAAAGACCTATAACGTTTCTATAAATGAGATGGGGAGCCACAGAAGCATTGGGAGCAGAAGAGTGAAATGATCTGAATTAGGTTTTAAGAAGATCATCTTGGCTGCTCTGGTGAAAACAGAAACTTGCAATGAGTGGTAAATAAGCCATAGAGATCTAATGTACAGTACAATGAATATAGACAATATTATTGACTATAATGATGTAATGTGATAAATATCACTACAATGGCAATCACATTACAGTATATAAATGTATCAAAGTAACACGCAGTACACCGTAAATTTACACAATGTTAAAAGTCATTATTGAAATTTATTCAATAAAAATATGAGAAAGAAAATAGACCTTACGAGGGAATGGTGGAAGTGGGGAGACCACATAAGAGGCTATTGCAGGAGAGAGAGATGGTGGTAGTTTGGACCAGCGTGGTAACAGTGAAGATGCTCATAGCATTTGCTACCTTCTGTTACTGATGATATTTACTCATTTGTATGTCGTAGGTCCCTTCCTAGATTGTCTTAGTCTTGCATGGAGAGAAAAACAAGCACAGTCTTATGTGTTCTTATGTTTTCCTTAGGGTCAACCTAGGGTCTTATGCTTAATAAACAGGAAGATTGGTCTGTGTGTGTATCTAATTTATTTTTAAAAACAGCTGTATTGAGGTATAATTTACATACCATAAAATTCACCCATTTTAAGTCTACAACGGAATGGTTTTTAGTAAATTTACAGAGTTGTGCAACCATTACCACCATGCAGTTTTAGAACATTTCCATCATGCCAAAAGAGATCTCTCATGCCTGTTTGCAGTCACTCCCTGTTCCCACGCTCAGCCCCAGCAACCACTAATTCACTTTCTATTTCTATAGATTTGCCCTTTCTGGACATTTCGTGTAATTGGAATGATAAAATATGTGGTCTTTTGCATCCAGCTTTTTTCTCTCAGCATAATGTTTTTGAAATTCATTCATGTTCCAGCATGAATCACAACAGTTTGTTCCTTTCTACTGCTGAGTAGTATTCCATTTTATGGATATATCACATTTTGTTTATCTATTTACCTGATCATGGACATTTGAATTGTTTCCAGCTTAGCTGTTTTGAATTATGTTGTGAACATTTATGTACAAGTCTCTGTGCGGACACATGTTTTCATTTCTCTTAGGTAGATTCCCAGGAGTGTAATTTCTTCATCTTAAGGTAAATTTATGTTTAACATTTTAAGAAACTGCCAAACTGTTCTTCAAATTATTACAATAAAACCAGAAATGTATGAGATTTCCAATTTCTCCACATCTTCACCAACAGTTGGTATTGTCTAACTTTTTGATTATGGCCATTCTAGTGGGGATGAAGAAGTATCTCAATGCAATTATAAATAGCATTTTCCTAATGACTAATGATGTTGAGTACGTTCTCATCTGCTTAATAACCATTCCTCTGTTTTCTTTGGTAAAATGCCTATTTAAATCTTTTGCCCATTTAAAAATGGGTTGTCTTCTTATTGAATTTCAAGAGGTTTTTATACATTCTGATTAAAAATCCTTTAAGAGATAAGTAATTTGCAAATTTTTCTCACAATCTGTGGCTTGACTTTTCATTTTCTTAGTGCTGTCTTTTGGAGTGCAATAGTTTTTAATTTGATGGACTTCCACTTTCTCAATATGTTTTAGTGGATCATACTTTTGGTGTTGTATCTAAGAACTCTTTGCCTAACCTAAGGTCACAAAGATTTTCTCCTAGGTTTTCTTCTAGAACTTTTATAGGTTTACCTCTTAGATTTAGGCCTATGATCCATTTTGAATTTTTTTTTGTATGTTTGTATGGTGTATATTGTGAGGTAGGAATCCAACTTCATTTTTTGCATGTGGATTTTTTTGTCCCATTTGTTGAAAAGCAACTACATTTCCGCATTGAATTGTCTTGGCACCTATGTCAAAAACCACCTGACCATAAATGTAAGGGCTTATTTCTAGATTCTCAACTATGTTTCATTGATCTAAATGTCCTTATGCCATTACCATACTGTCTTCTTCACTGTAGCTTTGTATTAAGCTTTGAAATAGGGATGTGTACGTCTTCCAACTTTGTTCTTCTTTTTCAAAATTGTTTTGGTTATTTTGCACCTGTGCATTTCCATGTGAATTTTAAGATCATTCGTCAATTTCTACAAAAATATTTGGTGGGAATTGCATTGAATTTATAGATCGATTTGGGCAGAATTACCGTCTCAACAATACTGAGTCTTCTAATCCATGAACCTGAAATGTGTCTCCATTTATACAGACCTTTAAAAAATTCTCTGCACAATGTTTTGTAATTTTCAGTATACAAGTCTTATACCACTTTAGTTAGATTTATTCCTAAGTATTTTATTCTTTTTATATGCTGTTGGAAATGGAATCGTTTTCCTAGTTTCATTTTTGGATTGTTCATTGCTAGTATATGCAAATACAATTACTTTTTGTATATTAATCTTTTATCTTGCTACCTTGCTGAACTCATATATTAGTTCTAGTAGAGCTTTTGTGTGAATTCTTTAGGATTTTCTACACACAGGACCGTATTGACTACAAATAAAGACAGTCTTATCTCTTCCTTTTCAGTGCAAATTCTGTATATTTCTTCTTGTTGCCTGATTGCACTAGAACCACCAGGACAATGTTGGAGAGAAGTGGCAAGAGCAGACAGTCTTGTCTTCTTTCTGGTCTTGGGGGAAAGCATTCTATTTCTCACCATTTAGTATGATTATGATGTTAGCTGTAGGTTTTTCATAGATAATCTTTATCAGGTTGAAAAAGTTACCTTCTATTTTTTGTTTGTTGAAGGTTTTTATCATGGATTGGTGTTGGATTTTGCCCAGTGCTTTTTCTGCATCTATTGAGATGAGAGTGTAATTTTTTTGTCCTTTATTCTATGAACATAGTATATTACATTAATTAATCTTCACATGTTGAACTGATTTTGCAATCCTGGGATAAATCCCACTTGGTCATGATGTATAATCCTTTTTTAAATGTTGCTGGATTCAGTTTACTAGTATTTTGTTGAGGATTTTTGTCTCTATATTCATGAGGGATATTGTTCTGTAGTTTTCTTTTCTTGTGATATCTTTGTCTGGTTTTGGTATCAGAGTAATACTGGCCTCATAGAATGAGTTGGTAAGTATCCCTTCCTCTATTTTCTGGAAGAGTTTGTGAGGGATTAGTATTTATATCTTATTTGAATATTTGATAGAATTCATCAGTGAAACCATATGGGCTTGACTGAGTTTTAATGAGATTTGTATATTTATCAATTTTGGCAAAAAATAAATAAAGAGCCATTGATTTCTGTTTTTTTAAAAAAAAGCTTGTTATATGGAGATTTTCATTATAATGTGGTTTTCCAAATATATATATACACCCCACCTGTCTAAAAATGAGCATGCCATCTGTCTAAAACACAATTGAAAACCAAGACAAAAGAGAAAATAACAAGTTTCCAGCACCCAAAATCAGTGCCCCTGTGTCTATGCATTTAACTCAATAGGAGAACACCACAGGATTCCATGGACATTGTATATATACAATGTCCATGGAGTTGTATGTATTTACTTAGACAATTCATAAAGTGCTAATAGGTTTGAATATCTGGGTTCCCATTTTTTTCATGTTAAAATGTGAATTTTAATTGTAAAAATTGTTTTGAGTTCCCCTTTTATGGTAGATTAGAAGTCACAATTTAGAACCAAGTGGAAACCTTTTCAGGAGAAGCCAATGACCAGGAAATGATTCATATCAATCTGACAGAGAGGGAGAAGGCATAGAGATTATAAGGAAGACACAAAAATTCAAGTCAAAACAGTTTGAAGCCATTTATTGTAGGGGCAGATAATCCTATATACCTCAATTACCTTTGTAGGTGTAGTGCTATAACAGATATTGATAACAATAAACTGGAGACATCTGGAAAAGAATAGATGATGATCAAGGATAAACCGCCAGTGATTTGGAAAAGCCAGAATGATTTTCCAAATGATTCATCTATTGAGGATTCCAGATAGCTGGGGTTTTACTAGATTCCCAATGTACAGAATGATGAGTGGCTGTGACTGCCTTGCATTGTAGTTGGCATTTTATTCTCCTTTCTTGATAATGTACGATCAGAGTGGAGTAAGTTTAGGGGTCTGTATTAGTTTGCTAGAGCTGCCACAACAAAATAGCACAGACTAGGTGGCTTAAATGACAGAAATTTATTTTCTCACAGTTCTGAAGGCTAGACATCCAAGATCGAAGTGTCAGCAGTTTTGGTTTCTTCTGAGGCCTCTCTCCTTGGCTTGCAGATGGTTGCCCTCTTGATGCGTCCTCACCTGATCTTTCCTCTGTGCACCTGCGTTCCTGGTGCCTCTCTGTGTGTCCAAATTCCCTCTTCTCATAAGAACACCAGTCAGATTGGATTAGGGCCCACCCTACTGTCTCATTTTAATATAATCACTTTTATAGGCCCTATTGCTAAATATAGTCACATTATGAGGTACTGGAGGTTAGGAATTCAACATATGCATTTGAAACGGGGGCACTGATCAGAAGTAGAAGAAATCATAAACAGAATGTGGGAGAAAAAAAATGACAAAATAGTCATCTGTGATCCTGGAGCCTTTCGGAACTACACTGTGTCTGTGTCTTACTATACTGAGACTTCATAGCAATCCACTGCTTCTGATTTGAAAAAGAACCAGTTAGTTCCCCCTATATCTGAAAACAGAAATATACATAACATATGGGTGGGAGGCCTAGGGCTGCATTGCCTACCAAAAAAGGGCCGTTTGGGGGAGGTCAGAGGGTCTGCTGGGTGCTCCATTGCTTAAGTCCTCAACAGTAATGTGAAAAATGTCATTTTCTGTCATGTAGCAGAACTGGGAGACTTCCATGAAGAAACAGATAGGAAACATCTGGCACGAACCCGGTACTTACCGAACCAAGACTGTTTAGAGAGCAAGATCATGCACTTTCATCAGAAGCACATGTAAGTACTTTAACTGGCACCTGCTTCCACCAACACGGAACACTAAAAAAAGCAAGCCCTTAAGTCAGAGAAGCTTCAGGCTCAAGAAAACACTGAGCTCCTCATGGAGCTCTCAGGGGGAAAGTGCCATTCTTGCTGCATTTATTAGGCTCAAAAGTTCTTTCCTCTTGTAGTGGCAGGAGCCCAGCTGAATCTGACATTCTGCTACTGGACATAGCGAGGAAGCTGGATATGTACGGCATCAGGCCTCACCCCGCCAGTGATGGCGAAGGGATGCAGATCCACCTGGCTGTTGCACACATGGGAGTACTGGTGTTACGGGTAACAACTCTTTCCTTTCAAGTCCTTCAGCTTTGGGGGTTATCTTGGCTCAAACTTGGGTGTCCATTCCCAAGGTGAATTCACCTCTCAGTCTTACCACCAGCCAGAAAGGGAAGTGATGCTTGGAAGTGTTTTGGGTAAGTTCTCTCCCCTCAGTGTGCTTTGCTTCCATTTACAGTCTGTAACTGACTGTTTTGGCTCTGAGGAGCTCATACGCTAGATCAGGCCAGCATGGTGGAGAGATGAGGTCAAGATGCTCTTTGGAAATTTTAGACCCTAAATAAGAATATGGATATTGGCATCCTAAAAGCTTAGGCTCTGACACAAAGTACATTCACCCTGTTCAAATCCAGCAGAAACAGCCTGAAGTGTCCAAAATGTAGTGTTCTCATTCCATTACTGGTTTCATTGGAGGTGCCCAGTGCCAGCTGGTAGGGAATTAGTGACCAACCCTGCCAGCAATTGTTGCTGTTTACTGGCTCATCTTTTCCCAAGGACTTTGTTTTCCAGGTTAGAAACCAACTCAAGGCTCTGTGATCCTCCATCATCATTAATCCTCACTCTAGGGAACTTGGCCAGAGGCTATTTTTTCAGCAGTTTTTCAGTCTATTACATCTCCTCACATGCCTGAGCATTCAATGAATTTAGATCCAAGTTAAAGTTCAAGAACACTTGCCTAATCTTCGAAATGATAGGCAGATACCTAGACAGGTTTGGGAATGAATTACTTGTGAGAGAGGAAGGGGTGACCTTAGACCCACTGACCCCCCGGACCAAATTACAGCGCTGAGCTAAGTCACAAAGCAGGTCAGGTACAGACTTGACTAAAAGAATCGCTACCTTCTCATTTATTTGGTTGTAAACTTTACAGCATGGGAGTCACATTGATGGACAAAAGTCCCAATGGATCACAGCACATGTGTTCACCCAGGAGGAAATTTTTACCCATTCCACTCTAAGCCCTGATCCTTGCCATTCCCTACCCCATGGGAGAAGATGGGGAGTGGAAGGGAGCAAGGCCGTCATGTTACTTGTGATCTCTTTTAGTGTGATTACTTCTGTGGACAGTTGGGAACAATATAGCTGGTCTATTTTGTCCCACCCCAAATCCAATCAAAGAATACTTGTGTATTGAGTACCTTCTATGTGTTCTTCATTGTAGTATTCTTTCTTTAAAAAAACATCAGCATTATTAAGATATAACTTCCGCACCATAAAATGCATCTGTTTTAACTGTATAATTCAGTGGGTTTGAGTACATTTACAGAGTTGGGCCAGGCACTAGAGCTACAGAGGTAAATAGGAATGATTCTGACTTCATGGAACTTGCATTCTAATAGGGGAAAGATAGACAATTCAACAAGTAATTATAAACAAATATGATGTGCTTTGTGCTAGAAGTATGAGGTGCTAAGGTAACACATGTGAAAGGGGCTTAACATTTAAGCTGAGACCTGAGGAAGTTATCCAGACCAAAGGGATAGGGTTGGCAGATGAGAGAGGGTGTTCCAGAGAAAAAGCACACAGACAAAGGCCCTGAGAAGGATGAAGGATGGCATAATCAAAAAACTAACATTAATCACGATACATGGCTCCTGTCATTAAGACACAATTTATTTGGAGAGATCAGAAAAATAGTGGTCAATATCAGACAGTAAGTAAGCAAGGTAATCTATCATATTTACTTATAGTTGCACAGCAAGTGTACACAACACACTAATAAATGTGGTTACCTGTAGAGAATGGATATGAGGAGACAGAGGCAGGAGTGGCAGTGGTGGGAGTGAGACTTGTCAATATATATATATTTGTACACCTTTCATTTTTGGACCGGGTGAACAAACAACTATCAACCAACCACCAACCAACCAACCAACCAACCAACCAACCAATCAACCTACCAACCAAAAGAGCAAAACTGGGCAGTCCAAGAGAGCCAGAGGAGTTCAGAGGAGTTAGAAACGGGTGTAGGCTTCGGTAATTATATAGACTATCCTAGAAGAGGTGCTACCAGAGCTGACAAGAAGGCTTAACTATGGGGAAGGCATTCTGGGTAAGGAGAATGAGGAAACCTATGAGAAGGAAAGTACAGAGTTGGATGGAAGGGTGTTTTCTAGGACCAGTGAGATAGAAGGTTGAATATTCAATATAATTGGGGCAAGAAAATCCAACCAAAAGAGTTTAGACTTGATGATGCAGACAGAGAAGTGTTATTGAAGGTGTTTGAGTAAATGGGGTGACAGGATAAATAGGATTTTTTTAAGCAGTTGAATCTGGAAACATGGGAAGGAGCGAGATTAGAGAAGCTATTGAAGTAATCCTTTTCTACTGTGATCTCTCTATCCTGGTTAGAAACCTTTCCCAGGCATACTCCTTTTTGCTTGCATTTCAGAGCAGCCTTGTGTCCCACCTGGAATGCCTTCTTTGGCCATAGCTTATGCCTACTATGACAGGATCACATCTGTGCAAGAGATAGATCAAGGATAGTCCTGTTCATGAAGTACATTTTCTAACAGGTTTGCATTGTGTCACAAACCAGCTTGTGCTAACATTCATCCTGAAATTTGCCATGTGTTTCATTATAGGGAAATACAAAGATCAATACTTTCAACTGGGCTAAAATCCGCAAATTGAGTTTTAAGAGAAAGCATTTTCTCATCAAGCTTCACGCCAACCTCTTGGTAAGTAGCTTTCTAATAAATTCTTTTACTTTCGGTTCACTTGAGATTTCTTGGTTGTGTCTGCAAATAATTTGAATGTGAGTGGTGAAAGCTGGCTGGCCCTGAGGGGGATATGCTCCCTCTTTTGCCTCTACATAAATAAGCCAGAGCTTTAGTCGTATCTTTACTAAAGGCAAAACACTAAGAAACCCTATTGGCAGTTCAGAATGAATGAAATAATAGGAAAATGGGGTAGTTGGGATGAAAGACAAGTCTCCTTGGAAACCATTTTTCAGGGATTTGATGAGTCAAATGGAAGTGACCAGATCTAGGACTATGGACATATTTATTTGATGTTATCTGCTCCATTTTAGAAAGTATTTTTATCTTCTTTCCTTAAGCAAAAATAATTGAATACCTATTATATGCCAAAGCAGGATGTGGGGGGGTGAGTGTACATTAAGCAAAAGAAGCAATTATTGGTCAAGGCTGCATCGTACGGGGTAAGACAAAGGTGCCAGAAAGGATGTTCTTTTGTGACAATAAAGGAAATGAAAAATGTTTATCAACTAATTTTTTGACCTACAGAAGATCCAGTAGTTTGGGCTTCATTCTCTGGATCTTAGTCTTATGTAAAAATGTTCACGTGAGCAGTTTGGGAGACTGTCCAGTGTGAAGCTCATGGAGAGTCCCAGGGCTGCATACAGGCACCTGGAAAAGAATAAGAGAAGGGGGGACAGCAGAGTGGGTTAGCGGGGCTGCATGCATACATGCGCATATGGGGGTATATAGTGAATCGGGGGATGGGGAAAACTTGAACTTTAAGTCTGAAAGGCTAAGCTTCCCGGAAGCAGATTAGAATATGCTAAATGAGCAATACAGAGCATCATACAACACGGCAGCATAGAGAGGAAGAAGTGTTTCTAGCCGGTATGCTAAAAAGACTCATGTAGGGGTCGGCCCCATGGCTTAGTGGTTAAGTGCGCATGCTCCACTACTGGTGGCCCGGGTTCGGATCCCAGATGCGCACCGACGCACCGCTTGTCCGGCCATGCTGAGGCGGCATCCCACATACAGCAACTAAGAAGGATGTGCAACTGTGACATACAACTATCTACTGGGGCTTTGGGGAGAAAAAGGGAAAAAAAAAAAAAGGAGGATGATTGGCAATAGATGTTAGCTCAGAGCTGGTCTTCCTCAGCAAAAAGAGGAGGATTGGCATGGATGTTAGCTCAGGGCTGATCTTCCTCACAAAATAAATAAATAAATAATAATAAAAAGACTCATGTACATGTAATCATCCTATAAAGCCTACCATCTGTAAGGAAATCTCCTCCTCTCTCCCCTTTCCTGTTGGTCATTTATAATGTCTTGTCACCTTGAAAGGATACCTTTTGATGTCCATTTTAACCAAATTTACAACTTTATAAAAATGTTCCTGGCAGAGAAGAGGGAGGAAAAAAGTGTTTGAGGTGAGGGGGTTGTGCAAAGCAAGATTTGCTTTTAGAGAAGGCTCTGTTTTTGAGCAGTGGCCCTGTCTGTTCCTCAGATGGTTGCCAATCATTTGGTTTCAGTAGGTGTGAAGCCTATAGGGAGCCAAGTAGAAAAGCAGAAGCTGCATGGGCCCCTGGGCCAATAGTTTGGAAGCGTTGGGATTTCAAGGTCTTGGATATTCTTGAAGGATGTTTTGTTTGATGGAAATTGGTTTATACAGGTGTTGTGCAAGGACACCTTGGAATTCACCATGGCCAGCCGAGATGCCTGCAAGGCTTTCTGGAAGACTTGTGTGGAGTACCATGCTTTCTTCAGACTTTCTGAAGAGCCCAAATCAAAGCCCAAAACCCTACTCTGCAGCAAAGGTTCTAGCTTCCGCTATAGGTAATTAAATATTGCACATAGGCAAACTACACACACGACTTCTTTTCAATAACATGGAAGGCAGTAAGAGGAGCTTGAATTCTAGAAGCAAGAAAGAATCCATTTCAATCACTTAAAGGATGATACCCTTTACTGCTCATTCTCTGTGTGACACATTAAATCCGGATTTCCTAACTGGGAGGCAGGGGGAGGGGAGCACTCTACTTAAGAGGTTAGATTAGAATCTCTACAAGGATGGAGGGACATATGCAGCTTGAGAAAACGTATTCAATGAACCTATTGTTTTCTTTATATGCAATTTATATGCAAGCCAGGAAAAGGAAACCTCAACAACATCCTTTTGGTGGTGGTTAGGCAAAAGATAGTGTGAGAAATCACTGGAGGGCCTAAGGGATTCCAAAGGTTGAGCAATATTGCTGTAGAGGCTCCTTACTACAGGTAACACTTTGGAGGAGTGGAAGCGAGGTCTAAATAAGATCTTGTTTTTACTTGAACACACCATATTAGGAATTCTTTGTAAGAAGCTTTCAAAACTCTTAGCTAAGATAAATTCTAATCAAATGCTTCCCATAAGAAATTTTTCAAATAATGGAAGCCTGCCCCAGGAAGAACTGAGATTTTAAAAACATACTTATTTTTGATGGAATCTTTCCAAAATGTATTCTACAAATCCCTGCCTTCTTAAACAGATGCTACTGAGCATATTTTGCCCTTTTCTTAATGACCTGAGTTATTACAAACATCGCTTACTATCCTCTGCAGGCAGCTGTAGTGCAGTGATGGCCTCGGGGTGGGGGAGGCTTGTCAGACCCTGCACCCCAGTGATAAATGGCCCAGACTTTTTGGATTTTATTATTCTTGTGATTTCTTTTTTGGCTCTTGTGTTTCTCCCAGCAGTCAGCTGGCTTTCTTTGCTAATGTGTGTCTGACTAGAGCTTCTACTGTTTAGTTAGCTGTTTTTCTTTTGTCATGGATTGGAAAACCAGATAAATAGCCTCATTAGAAATTGTGTGTAAATTCAGAGGTAGGGCAAAGGCCTTCAAAGAAAAGTATATTAGTTTTCAAGGCTAGAATCTTTTAACTGTTATATAGCCCTGTTCAGAGGCTTTTTAAAGTTTTGTGGTTCTGAGTAGTTAAGATTGCTCCATGCCTGATCCTTGGATAAGTATTATCATTCATGTGACGGCCAAAGATCCATGACATGTGTCATTCATCCAAACTCTTTTGATTTCAACAATAAATGAGGCTTTCAAGTTTTAGTCGCCTACTGGCTTACTACTAGCATTAATAAAATGATTGTCTCGTTATTATACTAGTGGAAGAACCCAAAGGCAACTTTTGGAATATGGAAAAAAAGGCAGGTTGAAGAGCTTGCCATTTGAAAGGTACATAGTTTTGTTTCTCTCTCTCATGTTGATTTTAAGTTGAATTTGGAGATTTATATGTATCCTGTATTCACATGAAGACCATGTCAATTCCTTCTCTGTTTGGGGATTTCAGGAAACATTATCCATCTCAGTACCATGAACGACAGTGCAGGTCCTCACCAGACCTCCTCTCTGATGTGTCAAAACAAGTAAGGTTTCTGAAAACTTCTTCTTTAGATAAAAGTAATGCGCCCACATTTCAAATGCTTCCAAGAATCGATTCTGCCAGAATCTCCCAGTGTGTAAAAAGGTTACTCTGTTCAAGTAGGTTAGCCTCCTTGGGAGTTCTGTCAGCTCAGTCTTTCTAGCCAATAGAAGACCATTTAGTAAACTACCACTAGTGTGTACCTTATAGACTGGAAGCATCTGGCACATCTTTAAATTGCAACCTGTATTGCTAACATCTTGTAAAATGCAGATGCAAATGAATTTCTATGGCTTTGTATTTTTAAAACTAAAAGCTCTGCTGTTTTTACCTATGAAAATCTTAAGGCTTAGAGGAAGCTATGCGGTCTTGGGTTAAGGTTTTAAAGTACTTTTGCAACTTAATTTAGGAACGAAGTGCCATTCTCCTGGAACTGTGAGATGATGGCTTCACTTGAGTTTTATAGTATGGACCATGTTAATTATTTTTCTTTTGCTCTCTCTGAAAAAAAATTAATTATAGGTCTCATAAACTCTCATGTCTTCAAATCACAGGCAGTTTTTATCTGAAAGCCATCACAGAGATATAATGCTGGAAGGTACCATCTAATATATGACCCTCTCATGCCATTCATAGCCCTCTTCCCCACCATTTTACAGAAAATGAGGAGGAGGCTAGAGCAGGGAGGTTAGAAGACTTGCCTAAGGTCACACAGCAAGTCAAAGGCAGAGCCAGGAAAGGAGGCAGAACTCCTGGCCCATTGATACAGCTGCTAAATCATACTGCTTGAAGTACAATGCTGGCTGAACTACACAGAGAACTCGGAGGCTGTGAGTGGGATGGCATTGAGAAAGGATAGTGTTGTATGTATTTTTTATCACATGAATTGGGATATGGTACAAGTTATTATCCTTCTGTTATATATTTATCAACCCTCGAATAGAACATGGATTGAAATGACTGTGAAAAACTACCTTTGCAAAATTCAAGGTTAATTTAGATCCCTGCCCCCACCCCAACCCAACAGTTTTTTCCTTCTTTCACCAATAATATGTCCTTTCTCTCAAGGTGGAAGATTTGAGACTAGCATATGGCAGTGGGTACTATCGAAACGTGAGTGGAGTGCACGCATCTGAGCCTGTGCTAGACAGTAGGAGGAGAAACTCTGCAGTGGAAGTGACGTTTGCAGCCAAGCTGGAGCGGTCCAAACCAGAGGCAGATCCCACACCATTACATCAGTCCCAAAGCAGTTCCTCTTTCTCTTTTATTTATACAGACCCTGTCTTTAGCACTGACCCCGATCCTGACACTGATCCCAGAGACTACTTGGAGGAAAGGAGTCCTCTAAGCTCCTTCCAAACAAGCTGTAAGTTTGCTGACAATCACATGAGCACATCTTCTGGCCTGACAAGCAAAGTGACTCCAGCAAGGCAGCTAACTTACACAGATGTGCCCTATATCCCTTGTACTGGTCAGCAGGTTGATATTATGCCTCCTCAAGTCTTTTTTTATGTGGACAGACCATCCCAGGTGCCCCGAAGGTCTCCAATCATGGCAGAGGAAAGGGAAAGGCCAGACAGGTGTCTAGAGCCCACTGCAATGAAGCCAGCCAAAAAAAGCCCAAGGAATATCAGAATGAAGAGCTTTCAGCAAGACTTTCAAGAACTCCAAGAAGCTATGGCCAGGACTAGTGGTAGAAGCAACATCAATGTAGATCTAGAAGAGGAAGACCCAAATTTAGAAGATGCATTTGCATATAACATTCAAGAGCAAACCCCTAAACGATCCCAGAGCCAATCAGACATGAAAACTATCCGTTTTCCTTTTGGGTCAGAATTTAGACCCTTAGGGCCTTGTCCTGCTCTGAGTCGTAAAGCTGACCTGTTTACGTATATGTTTGCAGAGCAAGAGTTTCCAACAGTTCCAATGGATCAAGGAGCAGCAGAAAGATATGTAGCTAGTGAATCCAGTGATTCTGAATCAGAGATTCTTAAACCAGACTACTACTCTTTGTATGGCAAAGGAATAAGGTCACCCAGGGCCAGAATCCGCTTGTCTTCTGGTAGTCTACAGCTAGATGAAGAAGATGAAGATGTTTCTTTCAATACACCAACTGCTGAAGACAGGACTTTGCCAAAACCATGTAATTACTTTTTAACTTAAAGGTGTGAACTCTGTGAACATTTCTGGGCCAGTTCCACATTACCAACTTAGGTAAAAAAAATAAGGAACCTTCCGCATAAACCATTTCCTTTAGTTACTATTCATTGGTATTAAGGGAATCTTCTAAGTTTTGGCACCTAGCTTATGAAAGATCCAGCTGCTGCCTCATTCCTCAAGCTCCACTCTTTTATTCCCTCTGAAGGGACTCTGGAACACGCCCTCTCCTCACTAGCACTGTGGCGGGGTGAGGTGGGTATTTGTCATCTCCATTATACATTTCCTCATAGAGACAGTATAAATGAAGGTCAGGCTCTTCAACACTGAAGAATGGTGACAGTGTGGGTTGGCATATAAAATTGGCTTCTGATGTCATTTAGTGATTTAGTAGATTGTGACTGTGTTGGTCATTTTGTTCTTGAACAATACTATGACTAAAGGTTTTAGTCCTCATTATTTGTGTGGGGCCCAGTAAAAATGGTTCTGTTATATGTTAAGAGACTTTAATTTTTATAACATATATTAGGGGGAGCATGGCCCTCCTATGCCTCAGGAATGAGATGGTGGCACAGATCCTCTCAACAGAACACAAGTTTATAATTCATCTAGGAACTGGCAGAATTCTAAACCTTGAAAATTCATGAATTAATCAACTTCTAAAGCCAAATATATGCCTGATGAAGATATTATGATGTTTGACTTATTACTTCTCTATCCTTAACTATCTATTATACGTAGTGAAGGATAAAAGTTAACATGTTGGTTTATCTAATCTCTCCTGCAAGAATTGATTTTTTGCTTGTTGCATGTATGTAATGTAGGCAAGGAAATGAGATGAATAGTATTTTAATAAAGAGTGATGGAAATCCATTTATTTAAAAAATAATTTGTAAGTATGATCTTCCTTTTGTTTTAATCAACTTCAGAAGTGATTGGTTCTAGCCTATTACTAAGGGAAGGGACAGAGAACAAGGAAAAAGAGGGAGGCGGGTGAAAATGCATAATAAGGGATGGAGAAGTGGTAGAATTGGGGTAGCTGAAAAGAAAAAGGATAGTACTAAAACCAGACTGAGTTAATGAACCAAAATTCTATTCTTGACCCATTCAGAATTTCTCTATTATCCCCCCGGAAGGTATAGCATTCTATTTGAGAACTTTATTTTGTTTATTGATTTTCTGTTAAGTACAATATATTTATAAGATAATTTTAGGTACTAACTTCAAAGAAATGATTAAATTATATAAGCAAGCTATTTTTTATATACGACTTAAGGGAGAAAAGATGGATGGAATAGTTTCCTTACTCTCTTAGTCCTTACATCAGAAAAATCCCCTTTAATATACCTTACTCTACCCCTTTCCCACAGTCTACCACCTTCCTTCTTGCTCCTGGAATCATATCCAGTAACTAACTCACAGTCTAGACTAGATATTTAATAATAAGAATATATTGAAGCCCACTCACCTATATATTAACCCTATGGATCCTCAAAGCTATGTTAAGTTCATCTTTCTTTGACCTTTTCTGTAGGAAAAACTCAAATTCCTTCAGGCTTATATGCTATTTCTCACATCAGTTTCTGGAAGTCTTTGTGAAATTTGTTTTCCCCGGAGAACTATAGGGTTCCAATCTGTATAAGATATCCTAATAAAACTATAATTAGGGTGATCATATAATTTATTGTCCAACCTAGGACATTTTTGAGTGAAAGAGAGGACGCTATTAATAATTTTGTCAGGACAGGAGGCAGAAATGAGGACGATGTTCACTGTAGCTATAATCAATGCTTAATAAAATGTGAAGAATATCTTCTAATTTTCAATGGAAACATTGGCGTTAAAGTTCCAACAATAGATTAAAGGGCAAAGGAGAAATAATTTGAAACAATTAAAATACTATACCATACCCCCCTCAAGAAAACAAACATTGAGGACCATGAAATTCAAGAATTTATTTTTAAACTCCCCAAAACACTGGTGTATGCTTCACCTAGAAACATTTTACAGGACTAATAACTATAATGAATAAGCAATACAATTTCTATCCATGATACAGTTGTGTTGTCAAGTTTCAAATAATCAATTTATAAATTTGTTGCTTTTACTTTTACAAAAATATTCATTTAATCAATGATATGAGTTGCAAAATTATTTCCAGACCTCTACAGATTATAAACTGTAATTGAATTTCAGTTACATAGCAGGTGAAAATTTTAACTGAACCATTACTTCAAAATACAATATGTTAAAAGTATTGTTACAGTACAGGCACCAATGAAAAGAATTTTCTTGGCATATGATATGACAACAACTTATTCAAGTGTCTGTATTATTACAAAAAAAGAGGAGGTAATGGGCACTTTGACTAAAAACTGTATTCTTTACTTGAAGAACATCTTTCTTCTAATATTTGGCAATTCAGATTTTTAAAAATGTCTTCTGTGCAAAAACCAAGTTGTGCAGATCCAGACATTAACTATCAAAGCTAATTAATATCAATAATTCTACAACTACTGAAATATAGCCCCAGTTCAGAACTTAGGCAGGCATAATATATATACTGGGCTTAAAAGAGAAAAGGTATTACCCACATAACAGTACCATAAATATAACTGAAAATTAACTGTACAGTCTAACTTACCTTTGTACAGACAGAAATCATCCTGTACTACAGTTATTTTCATATGAACTAGAAAATGCTTATTTAAATACCCTTTCAAAATGAACAAATGCTGCTTATGTATTGGATAATTACGAAGAACAAAAATGTATAAATAGTTTATAGGACATTTTACTACCATGACAAAAATATGCTGGTGTAAATTATATTCATACCTGTTGATCAGGTATTTAATCACATGATGAACAGCTTTTTTAAACTCTCCAAATCCAAGCATATAATATGCAATTTCAGTCGAAGATTTTAAAAATGAAGCCTGACTAATTCCTCCAGTATTACTAAAAACCCATCCTTGGCTAATTGGTATTGTTTTAAATTTCCAACCATGTTAAATAAGGGTTAATTGCCTCTTCTAAAAGAGAGGGTAAATACTGCACACCAAAGGTACCTCTGTTGCTACACGTTGCCTATAAATGCTTCCAACACAGGGCTCTCGAATGCAATCGTCATTGAGCTGCCTGGAATTTCATACCAACTTGGTAGAAGAGTCAATACTTTTCAAAGTTTCATTTCCAAGAGCTTATGAAAAACTTCTTTTTTAAGAAGGTATGACTTGTTTCCACCTTTCCACCAATAGTCATTTTTTTAGAATATGCTTATGTTCAAAAAAAAAAAGCTTTTTGAGGCTTGATGATTTACAAAAGTCGAATATTTAGGATGACTTTGAAAGACCTGTATGTTTCATGAGTGTATAGTTAACTAAAGATCAAAACATGAAAGGTATTCATCCTAGTAACTTAAGTAATAATGATACCTAAAAGCAAAACTGTATCTCAACATTGACTAGAATACTGATGAAACTATAGTATTAAAAGTTATTCCTTACAAAATAATCTCTTTAAAATACAAAATGATAAAGACCATCACAAAATAGTTGAATAGCTTCTTCTAAATCTTCAATGTTGCAAAGATCCAAAAGGCACACGGAGCTCATGAGTTAAGCATCGTTAAGCTTGAAGTAGCTTTGGTGGGTTTCTCTGGGTCCATATGAAATAGAAGCTAATAATAATAAGTTTCTTAGGGAGATTCATCTGCTGAACACCTAGGAAATTAAGAAAAACTTAAATTGATACACAATATGCATGTTTCTATTTCTCATCTGTATGAACTCTGCAATGAATGAACTAATTCAGCAAACTAAATTCTTTCTATTGAGTCTCATCATGTAGATGTTAAAATATAAAGATGTTAAAAAAATCCCTTCTGCGCCTAATTTTACAACTTCCAATTGATTTGTTTGCAAATCAGAAAGAGAGGGGAGTTTTCCATTAAAATCTAAGAGATTTTAGGGGGTCAGCCGCGTGGGTTAGCAGTTAAGTGCGCGCACTCCGCTACTGGCGGCCTGGGTTCGGATCCCGGGTGC